CCCAGAGCTGCTCCGGCCCCTTCTCTCCATGGGATTCCTGCCCCCGTTCCCTCCCTTTTGCCAGCATTCCCTCGGCAAGGCAAGCCTCCACACTGCAGGCAGCTGCTCTGCACAGTTAGGGCTTTGGGCACGTGTCTTCCTCTCCCCTTGGATAAACTCGGGGATAAACTTGTAAGGGACAGGCACCACAGCAGGACAAAAGCCTGAGGTATTTTTTCCTTTGAATGTGTATGAGAAGATTCCTCAAGCGGTGCTAAGGCTCCGAGGCACAAAAGGAGCTGGATAGCTGCTGCTTGAACCAAGCGACAGGGCACCATGAGAAGCTCGAGGAGGGAGGTGCCTGGAGAGCGGCCGAGGGCTGACTTGGCAAAGGCGCCCTTTGCAGCGACAGCTCCTCTTCAGAAATGTCCTGCACCTGCAGGCAGGAGCCCGCACCTCCTCAGGCTGCCATTCCATGGGGGCTGCTCCGGGAAGAGCAGCTCCGTTTTCCATACCCGGATAAGTGACACGCACCCAGCCGGCAGCTGAAGTTGGGTCTGGGGGATCTCCCCTCCCCAAGGCAGGGGAACAGTCACCACCGGTGCTCTGTCTGATGAGATGGCCACCCCTGGAAAGGGGCTTTGTTTCTAACACCACTTCTGAACGCTCTGCAAAGGGGGTCAAGGAGCAGCAAAGCCAAAGCCCAGCCCAAGAGCCCCAGGAAAGGCTGCAGAGTCTTGAGAGGAGAACACGTGTGTGGGAAGGGGAGCAGGAGAGAAGAGACTTACATGGAAAAAGCGAGAAGCAGCGATCCTCTCTGGCTAGCCTGGTGGCCTAAAGCAGCTTTTAATGAGGATGTTCAGGGCCAAACTCGCCACTTCCAGAGAAGCTGTTAAAGAGCCGAGACAATGAAGACAAGTCCTGCCGCAAGCTGCTCCCCATTCAGCCCCGGCTCATAGTCTGCCATGGCTGTTGCTGGCAGTCAGGCTTGGGTGGGCCCTTTGTCCACTTCTTTTCCAAGCAATGAATACGTTAAAGCTTTAGATGAGCCGTTTCCATTTCCAGGCGTCGGAGAAGCTGCAGGATTTAGCCCCCGCTGGGACCAGGAAACCTCCCAGCTCCTCTGTCGGAGCAGCCGTGCCCGGCCCGCCCGGGACAAGGGCAGCCCCCTTCATTGCGCTGGGACACACAGCCATGGCTCCAAGGTTGAAGTTCTGATCACGCATCGAGGTTCCTCTGCTCCCTGCTCTTCTGCCCTTGGGTGCACAATGTCCACGTTACACAGGAAGGCAACGTAAAGCAGCGCCTGGGAGTCTGCCCAGCATCGTGTACTCCCCTCACTCCAGCCCTCTTGCAAACCTGATGCAGTGACATTTACTCACACGGAGGGCTCAGCTTCCCTCTGAGCAAACCACGCTACACAGGGGCTGGCCTGGGTGAAGGTACCTGGTCACAGCCTCGTGCATCTCGGGTCCCTCCTTCCACCAGTGGGCTCAAGAGCGTTAGGATCTGGGAACACAAGACACGAGGAGCCAAGCTGCACCGCTCTGGCTCTCTCTTCCAAACCCCGTTCACCCATTGCTCCTCCAGCAATTTTCCACTGGCCTCAGCAGAAGGGCTGGTAGAGAAGCGTGCCCGCAGGGCCGAGGACTCTCCTCCCAAAAGCTCCCTGGCACAAAAGAGAGGCACCGATCCAAGTCTCTCGGTTGTGTGAAAGCCTCTCTGCAGCTCCCCGGTTCCCCGAGGACAGGCTTGGCTCAGCACCTATGATTAGTATCAACTGTACTTTCCAGGGGGGGTAATTAGTTCAGGTGAGGCAACTACTGACAATTGGCTGCTGTGGCCGGCTCTTGGCAAGAGCCCGAATCCCAAACAAGCAGCTCACATATCAAAGGGGCTGCCTGCTCCTCAAGCAGATCCACCCTGTACATCTGCCCCTGCCCTGCAACCCGATGCTGGGGGCATTGACAGCTTTTCCTGTTAGAGACCAGCAAAAGCTGGAGCGCTGAGCAGAACTGGATAGCAAATGTTCCTCTTTTCATTGCTAAATTTTACGCTTTTGGAGTAGCTCTGCATGGTGGGAAGTCAACGATGTCCTGGAGCAGGTGGCTATGCAATGCCTTGGATGGGGTGTGCATGCATAGAACATCCTCCTTTCCAGCATCCTCCTCTCCAAACCCTCCTCTCTGCCCACCATGAGATGAGGAGCCAAAGTGTGAGGGAGGGAAAGCAGCTGCCTAGAGCGAAGGGCGCATCCTCCGAAGCAGGAGCTTGGACGGGAGCGGGCAGGACAGCTAGCACCGTGCACAAGGGGAAGAGCAAAGGCCAGTTCACACGGCGGACTAAATTTATCAGCACAGTCTAATGGGATCCCAAGCAACTTTCCAAGTGAAGCAGCAAAATAAAACACTTAAGCCATTGAAAACTCAAAGAGTTCCGCAGAACAATCCCACATTGTCCGGAGAGCCAGGAAACAGATTTATTAGGTCACCCAGGCCATCTCCAATTTCAGTGAAATTGCCCTGTTCTAGGGATGGTTCCAACTCCGCGCTTTGGCGCTGCCACTGTCCTTCACTGGGGAGCAGAAATAACAGGAAGGGAGGGGAATGGTCCAGCAAAGGACCTCACCATTTCAAGGACCAGGAAAAGCATTTGAGTAGAACATTTCTGCACTGCCCAGCATGGATCCCCTTGGGCTGGGGCTGTACTTATGGCGGAGCAGAAATACAAAGATCCTAACTATCTTTGTGGCCCATGGAGTAGTTGGAGACCTGCTACTGCTTCAGAGCTTCCCTTCCTCTGATGCTGAGGGATCCAGCTGCCCAACACCTGATGATTTGCTACTAACTCTAGGTCACGCTTCCCAAGCCCATCCATAACACCCAGGTCAAGGATGCCTTACCAGGCAGTACTACCTGGCCTCTGGAATGGGTGCCCTCCTAACTTTTATATCCCACGCTGGCTACTTGTGAGGGTTGCTTACCAAGGGGAAACCCTAAGCGATGTGAAACATCCCCCTCGCTCTTCATGGCTGGTGAGATACCTGCATTTGCAGCAGCATTTGCACACTTCCATAGCGCCCAAACAGCAGAGGCTCTTCCAGGCCAAGCGCCGTGGCAGGGGCAGCAGGGAGGTGCTGCCGAACGCGAGGGCTCCGCACCGTCCAGCCACGGGCGCCCAGCTGCCCGCCACACCAGAGCGCTCTGCGCGCGGCACCAGGTTCCAGGGTAGACCAGCCCAAACACTCACATTTTGCCACCGATAAAAACAGATGAAAATACTTTCCAACGACGCGTTACCCAAGTGGCTTCCGAGAGCTGGAGCCCCATGGTCGGTTCGGGGCAGTGGCGGGGTGTCCTCACCACAGTGCTGCATGCGCTGCTCAGGGCCATGCGGCCTCTTCTGCACAGAAAGAGGCCACCTGAAAAGCAAGAGCTGCTGCAGAGGGCTTTGATTTTGCTCCTTAGCACCACCCAATGCGGGAGGCCTTAGGGAGCTACTTGAGAAAAGCAGCCATTCCCCAGGAGACAGCTCCAGAGGAGGCAACTCCTAGAAAATAAAGCAAGCAAGGATGTACGCATCTCCCTTCCCTGTATTCTTCAAAGTAACCTGGAAGCTGAGGAAAAATATAGTAATGGAAGACAACAAAGATTAAGGTCTAATTGCAGCCATAAAGCCAAGGCAGAATCATTTACTGATTCTGCAAGGCTCGGGGCATAAGTGAGTTCGTTTAGTTTTTCAGCCCTCAGTGTGCCTGTAACGAGCCACAGCTTGCAACAATAGTTAAATGCAAATTGCATCAAGAACACTTAACAGCTTCCAACTTGCCTAGTATACGCAATGGGTTCAGACACCCTGACTCTCTCATCAAGAATCCGGATTCGGCACAAATGGTTTGGTACACAGGATTAGTCTCAAATATAATGACTAACTCTTGGAAACTTTCATACTATTTTTAAATCCCGCTTGTCAGGGCAGCACCTGAAAATTAAACGAGAATCCTGAAGAGAACTATCCCCAAGAGAAAATCCAGCAGCAGAAGCGCGTTGCCTCGAAGCAGCGGCGTGATGGGCTAGTGCCACCTCGTGGGAAGCTCTTCTCCCCTCCTTCAGCTGGACCCCGTCCACCTTCTGCTCCATATTGCAGCTTTCTGGAGGCAAGACGTGGGAGCAAGAACCAAGGCACACACCAGAAGACCCATGCGGCTGTTTCAACCATTCTACCTTAGGGAACATCTTCCACACAAAGGGCTGGCCGCTCTACACTTCAGTCAGCAGCTTCTCAGCAATTGCATGAGGACTGATCAGAAGGTGGTTGGTTTGGAGGAGACACCCCGACAAAACCCACCCTGGCTCATTGCTGAGCTGGCTTGTGTCTTCCCAAGAAGCTGAGCTGTCAGAGGCACCCGTCCCACTACGGCTGAGCATGTGTTTGTCTAACAGACCCAGCTCCTCTCTGTGCCTCAATGCTGTGGCAAACTACCACCTCAACTCTCCCAACACGCTGGGCAAGGCCAGGCTGGTCACCCTTGTGAGTTTATTTAAACGATATGAGCTCAGCTCACCGATTAAGCCTGAAAATGAGTGACGGTTTACCAAAGAAACAGCCACTCCAACAAGAAGAGGGTAATGAACAGCGAGGCCAGAAACATCACCACCACAGGGACCAGAACACAAGCTCTCCATAGGGGTAGTCTGACCTCCTTGTGAAGCACCAAGGGAGGGCTCCCCTCAGACGAGGCCCTTCCTTGTAGGGCTGTACAAAAGGGCGATGCTTCATGGGCCACTCCGGCTGCTTTATGCCAGGGAAGAGACTCACTCATCCCAGTTGGAAAACAAGACCTGCAAACTCAACAGCCTAGCAGGAGAGACAGGGACAGAGGAGGGACAGGCTACAGGCACCAGGTTTGCCAGACCGACCCCAGACAAATGAAGACTTGGTGGCCCAGCACTGACTGGGAAAGGTTAATCCAGTCTACACACACAGTTTAGAAGGACAGAGCAACTCCCAGCAGAGTCAACTCCATTTAGGATAGAGTTACTTTTAATATTACACATTTAACATCACGATGACAAACATTTTCTCAGGCCTGAGCTTGCTCCCGGCGCACAAGACAGTCAAAGCCAGACAGAACCTCAGCAGCCCCGTCACAGTCCACAGCTTCACTATTTCCATCCTGCAGGGACACAGCCTAGAAGCGAATCCAGTACATGGCACTGCGGATACGGTTGTAATCCAAAAGCTGTTCAATGGGACCTGAGTAAGCAAAACACAGTTAGTCACTGCAGAGGTAGTTAAAATCCTTGTGCAAGTTCCCATATCCTTGGGGCAAAGAGGGGCAAAGCCAACCACAGTCAGAGTCCAGAACAGCTACACAAACTGCAGCAACTACAGCTCAAGCCTGCATGAGAAAGGTGGGCAGAAACCACGTCCTGACAGAGAAACCATTATTGATTTCCTCAGAATCATCTGCCTTGTCCTGGTGTGCCACAATGCTGAATACATCTTCATATTCAGGTGTGAACACAGCAACCAAAGCAGAGGATTTGAGAAGCTCATTGCAACTTCCTGTTTGAAATCCCTCTCCCTTTCCAGACTGCGCTTTGCAGGCCCAGGGGAAACAGCTGCCTGGAGGAGGGGAATCCTCTCCCGCAGGAAGGAGGCCGAGCTGGCTGTTCGGGCAGGCTTGGAGATGAATTTGTCCTTGGCCAGACAGACGTGTCAGAGCAGCACGAGAGAATCAGGCCCCTTCACTTCCCTTACATAAAGCAGCATGACCCCAGGGTAAGGACACCTGGCAGATAGCACTGGGCCCCCACCCAGCTCTGGGACTCCCGCTGTTAGTCACAGCTCCACAGCGGGCGCGGAGGCGGGAGCACGGCCAGCAGCTCCTGCCACTAGGGCTGCCTCCTCTGCGGGCACCGTTTCCTGGCAGACGTGCCCTGGCACATCCAACGTGCAGAGGCAGGGAGGTAACAGCAGCAGAACCCAGTGGTGAAGAGGATGGAACAAACGTGTGGAAGGTGCCTGCATGTTGCTCCCACTCTGCTCCCCAGCGCCTCCCAGGCTTCCTTTTTGTGCTGCCATGTGCTACTGGTCACTTACCAACGGCTGCAATTGCTGGGCACTTGTCATAGATGTATTTACTGCAGACGTCCCGCACCATCCTCGCGTCAACAGCCTAACAAGCATCAAAAAGCAGTCAGAAACCCTTCCAGCAGACATGCATTTCTCACATCTCCAAATAACTATTGACATCCCTTAGCAAGACCATTAAAAACACTGTCAGACCCTTTGAGCCCACCTGAACCAACTGTCTAGCTCTCAGGCATCACAAGGACAGGTGATGCTCCACATAAGGCATTTTTCCAAGAAGACATGTCAGTCCCAAAGCTGCAGTCTTACAAGGAATACAGTGGCTGCAGAATTACACAAACCAGATAGCGGCCACCTCTGTGGAAACTGATACAGGATTCCAAGTTGTGTGGCTTAACACAGCTACATTTCCTCTTTCTGGAATGGACTGGACCCAGCCACAGGGACACAGGATACACAGAGTCTACGTCACACACTCGGACATACGGGTATCAGCATGAGCGAGCTGACTGCCTGGACACCAGGCATCCGGACTAAGGAATAAGCAAAGCTCCTGTCACTGCAGCTGACTAAGGCCAGAAAGTGCTGACACCGAGTAGGCTGAGGTATCCCCCCTCAAAAATAAAGAATACCTACAGAAATCCTGGAATCCCATTCCTCCAGAGGGATACGGCGTCCATAGTTTAAGAGATGGCTTCCAATATTCTCACACACTGGGGTGGTACCTAGGACATGTTGACATCACATTGTGAACAAAACAAAAAACCTTCCAGAATGTCACAGCTTGATCATCACTTAGGAGAAAGCAGATACAAACTCTAGCTATTAAACAGCTTCAGCTAAAAAATCACTAGTTACCATTCCAAGCAGCTCCAGCAGGAGTCAGGCAATACAAAGACCTCCCTTGTCTCCAGAATTATTCCCAGCTACCACAGAGCAGTTTAAGTGTATTGTTTTAACCTTACCAAGCAGCAAGTGAGCTCAGGTCTCTGAGCAGCAGAATGACAAGAAGTTTAAAGCTGGGCCAGCCTGGAGCATCTCAGGCTGGGACCAGAGAGACACTTGGACAAGGCAGCAAGCGGAATGCAGAGCGGAGGAAGTTTTGCTCGGTGCCTGCCTGTAGTATTGCAACAAAGAATTCCTAGCGCCCAGGAGGGCCAGGAGTGGCAACCCTCTGAAAACCTCATAGCCATCAGTCCATAGGGGAGCACGTACCATCCAGCTGAGCCACCATGGCATTTCGGAGGATGTTCTTGGCTCTCTTCACCTCTGACTCTGTGGTGCTGGTGCACAGACGCATCCTGGAAAGGAGATGGAATGACCACGAAAGCTGCTAAAGATGCCTGTCTACTCGGATAAAGTGAATCCGTCCCCTTCCCAAGCCCCAGCAGGAATAAGCCGATTTCAGCATCTCTCCTGCAGGCTGCAGCGGTTGCCTTGACTGCTGCAGAGTAGCTAAGAGCAGGGAACAGCAGGAGGCAAGAGAGGGAGCTGAGGCTAGAGGCGGGAGCACGAGGCAGGCTGCGGCCGCCAAACTGGGCGCACGCAGCGCTCGGCGGCCGTGGTGCCGGGCAGGGTCCAGCACGAGGTGCCCGCTGGCCCTCCCGCCACGGCCACCTGCTATGGAAGCTGCTGCTCCAGAACCAGGCCCTTCCAGCAGCCTGTTATCCAGCTGCTAAATCCCGTCCGCCCCTGCTAACGAGGGGGTCTCAGGGCAAGGGCTCCATGCACAGCACAGCTCTCAAGCTCAGCTGCAGCCTCTATTATTGGTGTACACATGTGTGTAATAAGACAAATAGGCAGAAGGTTCCCTAATGTTGGGCTGGTTCCAGCAGTGAAGCATTTATCTGCCGCAACACAACAGCTATGAATACAAGATTTCTGCCCTACTTTGCCACTTCGTCTAAACTTAAAATGATAAGGGATGGAAAAAGCCTCCTGGGTACCCAAGAGGACCTTTTTTTAAAAAACAAACAAACAAAACCCTCTCAATACTAAAATTTGAGAATCATGAGCTAAAATCCTGACCAGCCCGAAGGGATGAAAGCAGAAACAGTATTGTGATGAAAGCAACAACTCTTGTTACGCCAAGGTAGTTAAGGTAGTTATAGGAACCACCTGTAGAATGACTTGACCAGCATAAGAGTTATCAAGAAGTTTATATAGAGACACGGTGCTCTGAAGAACTAACCTATGTTCCAGTAGCTCCAATTCCAATGAGAGGGGCATATCCTAAAAAGAAACTTTTGCCAAGGGCATCCTTACCACTCGCCCTGAGCGCAGTGCAGCATGTCGTCTATGGACAGAGGATCCGAAACAAAATGGAAACCAAAGAGGCCGGTATCGGAGTAAGAGGTGTTGAACGTCTGGAAACTGTGGCAGAGATTATGCTCCACGGCGAGCGTAGCCAGCCTGCTGGACTGATTCTGTGAAGGAAGAAGTACCCTCAGCCATCGCCATATACAAGCATATGAGCTTTATCAGAGCTCACGTTCCCTCCAATTGAGCTATTTACACAGACTTCACAGAGAAGACAAAGTGCAATATTTAACACATTCTAAGATCTGCCATTGATTAGCCCCATCCTACTTTCCAGATTCCTGACCACTCCACAGTTGGAAGATAAGCACAACAGCACCCCATTAGGGCCTCCACCCAAGGACTCCAGAGCTAACCAGCCACCTCCCCAACTCCCTTACCTTGCCACCTCCAAACGTGCGGTCATAGCGGCCAAAGATGGCATTGGCCACAAGGAGGACGACGTTGTCGGGATCGGCCCATCCTGGGCCCTCCACGGCAAGAGCAATGTGGGCATGGGGCAGAGCATCATCTCTGACTCGGATCTGGAAAACCACGAGGAAGCAGAGGAGAGCTGCATGAGCAATACGACTTTGTCTGCTGTCAGGCCAGACAGAGAAATTAGCCCCGGTATTATCCCAGGGAAATCAAAGAGTCTCAGGCGGAGCTAAGCATGAGCCAGTTGCCTTTGGTTTCAGTTGAGGATGCAACTGCCTCATACCCCTAAACAATTTTCAGAATATTTCAGAATATTTAAGGTTGGAAGGGACCTCTACAGATCATCTAGTCCAACCTTCCTGCTCAAGCAGGCACACCTAGAGCATGTGGCACAGGGTGGCATCCAGGCGGGTTTTGAAGACCTCCAGAGTAGGAGACTCCACAACCTCCCTGGGCAGCCTGTTCCACTGCTCTGTCACCCTCACAGTAAAGAAGTTGCTCCTCACCTGGAGACGGAACTTCTTGTGCTTCAGCTTGTGGCCATTACCCCTCGTCCTATCGCTGGCCACCAGTGAGAACAGCCTGTCCCCTTCCTCCCTGCATTCTCCCTTCCTGAACTTATACATATTAATCATATCCCCTCTGAGCCGTCTCTTCTCCAGAGAAAACAGGCCCAGCTCGCTCAGCCTCTCTTCATACGAGAGATGTTCCATTCCCTTAATCATCCTGGTTGCCCTTCTCTGGACCCTCTCCAGAAGCTCCACGTCCCTCCTATACTGGGGTGCCCAGAACTGCACACAGTACTCCAGGTGCGGCCTCACCAGAGCTGAGTAGAGGGGCAGAATCACCTCCCTTGACCTGCTGGCAACGCTCCTCCTGATGCAGGCCAGGATGCCATTGGCCTTCTTGGCCACGAGGGCACACTGCTCACTCATGGTTAACTTAGTGTCAACCAGGACTCCCCGGTCCCTCTCCGTGGAGGTGCTTTCCAGCAGGTCCACCCCTAATCTGTACTGATGCCTGGGGTTATTCCTCCCCAGGTGCAGGACCCTGCACTTGTCCTTATTGAACCTCATGAGGTTCCTCTCTGCCCAGCTCTCCAGCCTGTCCAGGTCCCTCTGGATGGCAGCACAGCCCTCCGGAGTGTCGCCCACTCCACCCAGCTTGGCGTCATCCGCAAACTTGCTCAGGGTGCATTCCGTGCCCTCGTCCAGGTCATTGATRAACAAGTTGAACAGCACTGGGCCCAGTACTGACCCCTGGGGGACACCACTGGCCACAGGCCTCCAGCTGGACTCGGCCCCATTTATGACCACCCTCTGAGCTCTGCCATCCAGCCAGCCCTTGATCCACCGCACCGTGCACTCGTCTAGCCCACTGTCCCGGAGCTTCCGTATGAGGATGTTATGGGAGACAGTGTCAAAAGCCTTGCTTAGCATTTTGGTGCTAACACTCATCACGCTGGGGGAACAAGCCTCAAGAACAACGTGTTGATGCATTACCAAGCTGCTGCCCATTCACTTAGCTCCCCTGATATACACAAGCAGATGGCTCCTCCAAAAGGAGCTGCACCTGGTTTCACATTCACTCAGCAGTGCAGCAAAGCTGCTGGCTTTGCTGGGGACCAGGACAAGCTTACCTCGCTCCCGGTGAAGCGGCAGTGCGGCAGAACGGGCACAGCATCCTCTTTGTAAGCAAAGGGCACGCCGCTGAAGTGCTGCTTAGCTGCATCGACCAGCTCCCTGTGCGAAATGCCTGACAAGAGAAAACCACACTCTTAAACAGTTTCTTTGAACAAAACATCTTATGTTAGAGGCAACAGCTCTGTTTGACAGAGCTTTGATCACCAGCTTGAAAATACCCAGTTTTCTAAAGTCACAATGATCTGAAGCTTACCTCCAGCAGCTGCCAGGACCATACGAGGTGCCTTGAAGTTGGTATCAACATAGGAAACTAGATCCGCCCGAGTCATACGCCTAGAGAACACAAGATTTAACATATTTGTAACTCAGACATGGAAAGATGAGAGACTTACAGCAAGCAGAATACAACACAGAGACAGCTGCAATGCATTTGATTACGGGGGTGACACACTTTCTAGAAGCGCACCTACAGCGTCTGTGTTTCCTCGTACTGTTACTCTAGAACACAGAGAATGGAAATAGGTGGACAACATACAGAGATAAGGGCAAGTGCAGACGAGGCACGGAGGCAAGCATCAGCCTCTGCTCGCTGGCTGCCCATGGCCAAGCGGGGGGCTGCTCAAGGCCACTGCTCTAGAGAGTATCCCTAGGTCTTAAAACTCTCTATAGGTGTCAAACTCATAAGCGCAGAAGGTTCAGCCAGGCCCCTAGCAGCCTCCTACATCTCACATGAGGGGCAATTCTGGAGAAAAACATGTGCACCGCCACAATTCCACATGCACCAAGGAGAAAAACCCAGCCACGGCAAAGTGAAACACTCTGGAGAGATATTTCCTCTGCGTACAGCAGCACTGGCTCCTTGCACACGCCCTGGCTCTCCTGCACAGTCACTGCTACCGAGAGGTGCGCGCCACGCACTCCAAGCTGCTGCTCACTTGATGTTCTCAGTGGTCCCCTCAACAGTGCGGCCCAGCGCCGTGCCCTGGAAAGCAGTGGCATGAAGGTAATCAAACGTAACGTCCGTCAAGTTGCTGTCGAGCTCTTTCAACTCCTGAAGGATGACGCCGCGCTCCTTCTCGACCTGGGACTCCTCCAGAGCACAGTTCTGCACCACGTCGGCCAGAAGCTCCACAGCTGTAACACATTTCCTGCATTAACGCATTTCCTGCCCAACTGCTGCCCCGCACTGCTGAAAGACACACGAGCAGCAGGGACACAGGCAAGAGCAGAGAGCAACAAACTGCTGGGGAGGGGAAGCAACGTAACAGACTTGTACTATCCTTCTCTACTGCAGTGCAGGCAAATGATACTGTTTTGACATGAAGAATCCTCCAGGTTCACATACTATGTCCCCCCAGCAGATCATCAGTGCAAGTAGAAAGCAGGGACACAACTGCAAGAGGTGCAGCTGGGTGCAGGGCAGAGACAAGCCAAACCCTAGTACAGAGCTGGCCGTATCTGCCTACTGTCTCCGACTCGAATCACGAGCCCTGGACATGGGACACAAAGGCAGCCAAGTGCCACAGGAACTGCCATTGACCTCATCTTCCCAAATGTGCAAAACAACCTCAGATTACTGGATCTCTCCCTCTTTCCTGGCAATACAGTGCAAAGTGACACCAGGAGCTTGGCCACAGCTGGTTTTAGGAACACACGAGCTTGTAGACTTCAAGCACCATTTTAGCAGTGGTCTCTCCCACTAGCGCCTAGAACCTGCAGTTCACTGCTCAGCTACAAGCTCAGTGTAGAGTCTGTTGCTGGAAAGAGGCCCACACACACACATCCAGAGGCACACGCTCCCCAAGCGAGGCGCCAGCCAGCAGCCCTCCTACCTTTGGGCATGTCCTTGGACAGCGCTTTTATGTAGTAGGCAGTCTGCTCACGCGACGTGTACCCGCTGAGGTGGGCACCCATACTCTCCACCTCCTTCTCAAAGGCGGCACCGGGGCGCTTCTTTGTGCCCTGAGAGAATCCACACAAATACAACTTGGAAATGGCCATATTCCCTTCTGGGCAAGTTACAGAGCTAACACAGCAAAACTGACACTTAACTCAGAAAAGCCAAGAGCAAGTGCACAAAACAGGAGTTTAAAACTTGGTTTACCTATCCTGACTAAAGCATGTAAAGAATGAGATGTATTTTGAAAGACCAGAAAGAATCCAAGAGGCAAAGTGAAATGAGCTTAAGTTAAAGGACAACAGTGTCTGAAGAACGAATTAAACCAAGTTTAAGCTGGACCTAGAAACGAGAAGTGAGTTCGTAGCTACCCAAGAAGCGATATTCTGGAGAAACCTCCAGTAGGAACAGAATGCTACTGCAGAAACAGCGCTCGATTCTTCAGCTGCTGTTGCCTACGATGGCCCAGGCTGGATGGGAGTCTGCAAGCCCCAGGTGCTGGAAGCCCTGGTAGATACAAGGGCATGTTCAGCACCCAGTTATGTTTTTAGAAGTAAGAGCTAGCAGGTAAGAACACCACAGAAGTTGGATACATTCACCTCAACACAGTGCTATGCCAGACCAGTCTTGCCTTACCTTAAAGGCCAGATGTTCCAGGAAGTAACCGGCTCCGTTGTTCTTCTCATTCTCGTAGCGGCTGCCCACCCCAATCCACACACCCACCTGGAAGGGAAAGGCACCAGGTGCACTGTCAGAAGAGAAAGCAAACGGCACGTTTCAGCCTCGTGCCCGTGTAGCGGCACGGAGGACAACCTCAGTGCGGAGGCACTGCGCTAGCAACGGCACCAAAACACCAACGAGCAGCCACAGGTGATGATTTGCAGAACACGTTTACACTTTTCACTTAGCAGTGTCACGAGAACCTTGGGAAGTTCTGCCAGAGGGATAATAGTCGCTCGTGACTAATGCACTGACCATTTAACAGAAAGAAGGGTCTCTGCCAGAAATGTCGCTTCAAATAGGGGTTTGTTCCCTTTGGGAGGTCGGTTACGGGCCAGGCCAAGCTGACTGCCAAGCACATCCTCAAACAATCTCAAACTTACTGTACACGTCGGCTGGTTGGACTCCTCGGAAGCCACACGGAGGCCGTTGTCCAGGGTGGTGACCTGCGTTTCAGGGATATTTTGGAGTGCCTGGGCATACGTGACAACACCGCGGTTCCTCGTCAGGGCCAGCAAGGTTGCCTAAAGAGAGGGCGGACATCGCTGTTGAGCAGCAACCCCCCTGGGCACGCAAAGGCGCCCGGCGCGGAGCTGAGGGACACAAACGTTCCCGGGATGAGGATGAGCCCGGCCCGAACGCAGGCTGCTCAACGCGAGGCCGCCGGGGAGCGCGGGGCCGCGCAGCACCGTTTCCTCGCAGCGGGGCCGAGGCCGGGCCCACCCTCGGCGGCATGGACACGGGGCCGC